ACTGTTAACTCAGGGAAGGATGATTTTGTAGAGTCACGTGCCCTTGGACAGGCCAGGTCTCAAACAGCATGCTGTCAGTTACTAAAAACCCCATAGAGTGCAAATCTCAAAATCCGATTTGAAAATAGAAAAAAACAACAATTACTGAAAGTACTTGAGATGTTAAGTCATCATAAACTTTTCATGGTGCAAGTAGGAGTTTTGTGCAATGGACTGTGTCTGTTAAGATGGAATGGGTTTTTTTTTTTTAAAAAAAAACAACCTCTGGGCCGGATGTGGTGGCTCATGCCTGTAATCCCAGCACTTTGTGAGGCCGAGGCGAGCAAATTCCTTGAGCTGAGGAGTTCGAGACTAGCTTGGGCAACATGGCAAAACTCTGTCTCTACAAAAAAATAAAAAGATTAGCCAGGGGTGGTGGTGCAGGCCTGTAGTCCCAGCTGCTTAGGAGGCTGAGGCAGGAGGATCATTAGAGTTCAAGAGGTCAAGGTTGCAGTGAGCCATGATCATGCCACTGCATTCCAGCCTGGGTGACACAGTGACACCTTGCCTCAAAAAAAAAAAAAAAAAAAAAAAATTAAATTAAATTAAAAAAAATCTCTGAATACTGTGGTGTCCATGAACATCAATACCACATCTTTCTATGTTCTTTCATGATATTTATCATTTTATAAATATGTAGTTTTTACAGAGTTGTGATCAGTGGGCAAACAAATGAAATGATCTTGTTTTATTTTCCCCTCCCAAAGACCGTTCAATCAGATGATTCTAGTAGTCCTTTCTCTTCTCTGCAAGAATGCTGCAACTCTGGCTATAACTGTTTATTCTTCATTTTGCTGGAATGTTGACAGGCCATAGTAAGACAAGAGAAATTAGTTTAATTGATGCTATGGACTATGCTTTGGAATCTTTAAGTAGTTTTTAATAATTTAAAAGAAATTTAATTTTAAAATTCAAAAATATAATTGTTATATTTTTTAATAGCTGCCCAAAACTTGGAAGAATAAGACAAAAAATCAGGAAATATATTTCTAGGCATATGTTTTAAGGCTTGACACAATATCTTTAGTCATTTTTAATATCTGACCAAAACTTTATCACTTTGCTCTTCCATTAAAGAAGTGAAGCAGATGCTTTGCTTTTACCATTTTGAATAGAATTTTCCCCTGGCATATTATGTGAGCACGTAATATCTATAACATAAATAACAGCTGTCATGGCAATCCATGATGCCTGATGTGCTCTATGGATCACATTTATTTTGTATAAATGTAACACTTACGTTTTATAACTATTTATTTATTTATTTTGAGACCAAGTCTCGCTCTGCTGCCCAGGCTGAAGTGCAGTGGCACGATCTCAGCTTGCTACAACCACCGCCTCCCGGGTTCAAGCAATTCTCCTGCCTCAGCCTCCCAAGTAACTGGGATTACAGGTGCCCGTCACCATGCCTGACTAATTTTTGTATTTTTAGTAGAGATGGTGTTTTGCTACGTTGGCCGGGCTAGTCTCAAACTCCTGACCTCAGGTGATCCACCCGCCTCAGCCTTCCAAAGTGCTGGGATTACAAGCATGAGCCACCACACCCAGCTTATAACACATTTTTAAAAATGTGAGATGTGACTCACTAGTGGGGTCATGAAATCAATTTATTGGGTCTCAGCCAAAATTTTATAAAAAATGAAATAAAAAATAAAATATCCGAATGTGTTGTACATAGTAAGAGAAAGTATTGTTTTATGAAGCTTGAACATAATGAAATAAGTATTCACTTTAGAACAAAGGAAAACAACTACATTTATATTTTTCTGTAATTAATAATCAACTTTTATATTCATAAACACAATTACTCAGCTTAGTACATTGCATTAAAGGTATTCAAACCATTTAAAAGTAATTTTCTATTCATTTTCCATGGGCATCATTAGAGAATTAACAGGCTAGCATTTGTTGACACTATTTTCCATAAACGGATTCTCATTCCTCTGGCATTTATCTACCATGAAATAATAATAGAGTCAAGGGCTCCTGATTTTCATTTTACTATTCTCTAATAATGATCTATCTCCATGGCAAAGATGTGACACTTTCTCCTTATGATGCATGGCTCTACAACAAAACACGATCTCATTGGAAATCGATAAAAAATAATTCCAATGAGTCTACATAAACACCCATCCATATCCACACATACCCTTACTTATTAAAACCCTTCACATGTTTTTGAACTCTCTTCTCAAAAGTCACAATGTTGTGGGCAGAAAAAAAATTAACCCACTTAGTTGTATCTTGCACTGTGCATTTCAGTGCTATGGAGAAAATAGGCAAAGTAGAATATAAAAAGAAACATCGATCTTGAAGGGTCAATGTTAACATTTGTATAAGTGTTGGAAAACAAATGTAGAAGCCCCCATACTCTTTTGAAAAACCACAAACTCTGCTTTAGCATGAAGCCTTCTTACTATACTGACGGGGATATCCAGCACTGAGGGTTAGGTGCTGGGGTTAGGTGCTGGGGTACTGCTTTCAGGACAGTGAGAGTTTTACCTCCGAATGGAATTCACAAAGAAGCTGTTCCATTCAAGTTAACATTAATTTCTTTATTTTATTCTGATTTCCATAAGTTTTTGGGGAAGAGATGGTGTCTGGTTACATGAGTAAGTTCTTTAGTGGTAATTTGTGAGACTTTGGGGCACCCATCACCCGAGCAGTGTACACTGTAACCAATTTGTAGTCTTTCATCCCTCAGCCCCCTCCCACCCTTTCCCTCAAGTCCCCTAAGTCCACCGTAACATTAAGTTCTAATGGAAAGGAGTTTCCATGAGAAGCAAGTGCAGAGACTCAAAAGGGCAAGAAACACTCTTAAGAGTCCCCTCACTGATCGTTTAGTTCAAACCATTTACTGTAAACTTACTCTGTGCCAGGCACTACACTGGGGCTGGAGACAGAGATGAGTTTCCAGTCTGGTGGGAGAGTCCCCAAAGCACACAGTAAAGCACCATTCCATATGCCAAGGATATGACTGAGGTATACTCAAGATACAAAGGAGGCAGACAGAGAGCAGAGCCACCCAACCCAGATGGGGAGCTGATGGAGATCAATGGAAGTTTCTTAAAGAGGTGATGTGTGAGGTGAGCCTTGCAGAAGAGGTAGGGGCACTTCCCCGGGGGAAGTTAGGTTATACAGCAGGATATAGGCTCAGGACATTGCAATAAAGGTTACACAATATGAGTCTGGTAAATTTTGAAACAACATCCGTTTCATTTGGTGCAATCCAAGCACTGACTTTGTTCAGGATACCACAAGGAGTGAGGGGTTGCTGGAACACACGGTGAAACATGGGAGAGGATGTAAGAGATACAGCCGAAAGGGGCAAAGGTCAGTGCAACATCTCACATAGGAATCAAAGTGGGAACAGACACAGGCCGGGATCTTATGCTGCTACTAAGATACCAAAGTCCTAGGATCACCTAGGTATTCAAAAATACTATTCAATACACTTTAGAACACTAAAACAGAAGTTAAGAACATTTAAAGGACATTTTAATCATAATTCCTCCTCATTAAAATTACATCTGTCTTCCTTTTTTTTTTTTTTTTTTGAGTAATTTCAACCTTTACTTTAGGTTCAGGGGATATATGTGCAGGTTTGTTACGTGGGTATGTTGTGTGATGCTGAGGTTTGGGGGTGTGAATGATCCCGTCACCCAGGTAGTGGGCACGGTACCCAGTAAGTAATTTTTCAGTCCTCGGACTCCTCCCTCCATCCTATCTCTAGTAGTCCCCAGTGTCTGTTGTTCCCATCTTTATGTCCATGTGTACCCATTAATTAGCTTCCACTTGTAAGTGGTAACACGTGGTATTTGGCTTTCTGTTCCCGCGTTAATTCCTGGTTACATGAGTAAGTTCTTTAGTGGTAATTTGTGAGACTTTGGTACACCCATCAATCGAGCAGTGTACACTGTACCCAATTTGTAGTCTTTTATCCCTCAGCCCCCTTCCACCCTTTCCCTCAAGTCCCCTAAGTCCATGTAACATTAATTTCTAATGGAAAGGAGAATGGTCTCTAGAGGCTTCCACGTTGCTGCAAAGGACATGATTTTTGTTCTGTTTTATGGCTGCATAGCTTTCCGTGTACACCTGTCTCCAAACCTTCTTGTTCCCTTCAACTTCTATCACACATTATTATTATTATTATTATTATTATTATTATTATTTTGAGATAGAGTCTTGCTCTGTTGCCCAGGCTGGAGTGCAGTGGCACGATCTTGGTGCACTGCAACCTCCGCCTCCCGGGTTCAAGCGATTCTCCTGCCTCAGCCTCCCAAGTAGCTGGGATTACAGGCATGCGCCATCACACCCAACTAATTTTTGTATTTTTAGTAGAGATGGGGTTTCACCATGTTGACCAGGCTGGTCTTTAACTCCTGACCTCTGGTGATCCACCCACCTCGGCCTCCCAAAGTGCTGGAATTACAGGTGTGAGCCACCGCGCCCGGCTAGCCATTTTCTTTTCTATGTTATGTAGGCAGTTCCGAAATTTCTCCCACCACAAATGACATTTCCATAAACAGTTTCTACATGGGCATTTTTTTTTGACAGAGTTTTGCTCTGTCGCCTAGGCTGGAGTGCAGTGGTGCAATCTCGGCTTACTGCAGCCTCTGCCTCCTGGGTTCAAGCAATTCTCATGTCTCAGCCTCCTGAGTAGCTGGAATTACAGACTTGCATTACCATGCCTGGCAAATTTTTACATTTTTAGTAGAGACAGCGTTTTGCTATGTTTGCCAGGTTGGTCTTGAACTCCTGACCTCAATGATCTGCCCAGCTCAGCCTCCCAAAATGCTGGGATTACAGGCTTGAACCACCGCGCCTGGCCCTCTGCATGGACATTTAATCTTATGTTTTCCTTGAGGTAAGTTTTAAGGTGTGAGATTACTGGGCCACAGGGTGTATATATAGTTATGGACTTTTTTTACACAGGTGGAGGAGAGCCAGGTACTCACTGTTTTGCTCCATGTGAGGCCCGTGGTGTGGTGTTCCTTGATGTATGCTTGAAGCTCACTCCAAATGTTCAAATATGACTTCACCCAATCCACATGACGCAAATCACTTTGTTGTGAAAGAGAGTGGAAGAAAGCAGAGTTAGGATCTAAAAGAAAATTTTAAAAAGATTGCGGGGCACATAGTTATCTAGTGACTAGGGCCCCTGGAGCCTGAAGCAATTGTCCTTGCAGCCCGGTCACCATGAAGCGCTTCAGAAGGGAACCCTGGGAGGAAGCTGGCCCAGCACTCTCCTGAGGGGAGGCGGCAGGTGGCCGGATGCCCTGAGCTCCGGGTATGGAGCAGAGGGACCACAGAGAGGGGATCCGACAGAGCTAAGCTGACTTGAGTAGGGTGTCCTCGCACTGTCCCTGTCAGCACTCATGTGAAGGGGGCGTAGCACGGAGGCTGTTTCTTTCTGCGCTGCTTCTGATGCAAAATGAGAGACAATACGCTCCCAGGAATGAGAATGGTATTAAAAAGAAAAAAAAAGAAAAACAGCATTGGGTTCATTTTCTCATAATTCTGTTGAATTATTTGGTTAAAAGTGTAATCAGGCCAGGCGCAGTGGCTCACGCCTGTAATCCCAGCAGTTCGGGAGGCTGAGGCAGCTGGATCACGAGGTCAGGAGTTCAAGACCAGCGTGGCCAACATGGTGAAACCCTGTCTCTACTACAAATACAAAAATTAGCCGGGCCTGGTGGCACGCGCCTGTAATCCCCCAGCTACTTGGGATGCAGAGGCAGGAGAATCGCTTGAACCCAGTAGATGGAGGTTGCCGTGAGAGGATATCGCGCCATTGAACTCCAGCCTGGGGGACAAGAGCTAGACTCAGTCTCAAAACAAAACAAAAACTGTAATCAAATTGGAGAATTTTAGTCGTTATGACTGACAAAGACTTTGGTATAGGAAGAAAACTGATCTCTTACAAACAGGTAACACCCCTTACTTTTAAAGGGACATTTATTGAAATTCCCTTAATTTAATATTTTGAATGACAATACAAACCAGGCAGGGCATCACCAGTATTTTTATCTCTATTTTACTGAACCAAGGGCTAGTAAAATGCTTACCTTTTATAACGGGATTAACATAAAAGATTGAAAGAATTGTTAGAAATATTAAACTTATAGATAGGTAAAAATAGTTGCGTTTCCTTTTGGGAATTTTTACCCATAATATTTTCTCACTTATAGAAGTCAAGGTAATGCAAAAATGATGACATTTGAGTTAAGAAAAATTTAATTATGTTCCTGGGCCATTAATCTGAAGATAATCACGAATGGAAATCTCTATTATTAAAGCTCTTGTAATAATGACTTGTCTCTAGACATATTTTGTTTTCCTTGAAAAGCCCTAAAGTACCACCAGCATGTTTAGAATCCTATTGTATTAAGGCATGCCATTTAGAAAGAGTGAAATTGGGAACCGAAGTCATAATTATTCACTCCACAAATAGAAAAAATGTGAGTGTGGTTTTGTTCTACATTTTTAGATGTACTGATTATATTCATCAAATGTATGAAAAATCTCATTGTCGCTTTATCTCACCTTCACAGTCAAAACTCAAAAACTAAGTGTAGCTCCAACGGTTTCTCTCGTTAGTTTCCTAAGTCTGTAGGGTCTTGTAAGGGTCTTAGTACAGTGCCTTGTGCATAGGAAGCAGTATACACATAGCTATTATTAGAGCTTGAACATTACTTCAATATAAATGTACACACATATGTCTATGTTTATATGTGTATGTACATATAACACACACGTATGTTTGTAGACATTATAGAAATAGCATGTTGACATTCAGTATACTTTCTTTTCTTTTTTTTTTTAGAGACAGGGTCTTGCTCTGTTGCCCAGGCTGGAGTGCAAAGGTGAGATCATAGCTTGCTATAGCCTCAACCTCCTGGGCTCAAGTGATCCTCCCACCTCAGCCTCCCAAGTAGCTGGGACTACAGGTGTGCACCACCATGCCCAGCTAATTTTTAAAATTTTTTGGTAGAGATGGGGGGGTCTCACTATGTTGCCCAGGCTGGTCTTGAACTCCTGGACTCAAGCTATCCTCCCTCCTCAGCCTCCCAAAGAGCTGGGATCACAGGCATGAGCCACCATGTCTGATTCAGTTATTTTCTATTAAAGAATTTAACAATGGATGAAGTCCAAGTCTATATGGGCAAGTTCTTTTTTTTTTTTTTTAACCAATGCAGTATTATTTTGACTTGAACAACGTTCTAGCAAAACTTGTGATAAGGACTAAGAGTATGGTGCTCTTTTACCTGAAGTCAGTCTTTAAGAGGTAACAAATTGAGCAGGACCCAAATACACATTGGGAGCTGCAAAACTATCTTCAGTTTTCATATACTCTGGAAGAAGCTATGGTAGGGGAATGTGAATTTTAATGATTATGACTCAAAGAGGCCACACCTCTATAAAGCTAAAATAAATGACTCGCTCTATTCATATATTGAAAGAGCCAGGCCGGGCGGGGTGGCTCGCGCCTATAATCCCAGTACTTTGGGAGGCTGAAGCGAGTAGATCATTTGCGGTTAGGAGTTTGAGACCAGCCTGACCAACATGGCGAAACTCCGTCTCCACTGAAAATGCAAAAAAAATTAGCTGGGCATGGTGGTGCTTGCCTGTAGTCCCAGCTACTCGGGAGGCTGAGGCAGGAGAACTGCTTGAATCCGGGAGGCGGAGATTGCAGTGGGCCGAGATCACGCCACTGCACTCCAGCCTAGGTGACAGAGTGAGACTCCATCTCAAAAAAAACCAAAAAACAAAAAAAGAGGAAAACAGCCAATGAGCAGTCAAGCTGGTGGTAAGTGTTGCACAGATACAGACTCCACGGCTCACAGTCCTGTTTAAACCTCAAGGAAGTCTGCCTTTTTATTCCTCTACCTTCGGTCCTATCTGCCCAGTGGGCAGCAGTGACTCACAAATAACTACGACACAGAGACGGCACGGCGGGCTTGAGTCCACCAGTAAATGGGTGTTGTGTGGTGTGGAGTATGCTGCTTAGTCCGCTTTCAGAAGCTCAAGGGTGACCTGGGAGTGCTTTGACTACTCCTAGCAGTAAAACGAATGCATTTGCACCTCCAGCTGCGTTTCTTCGGCTTCTTGTACAGTCTTGAGGTGGTCCACTGAGCTGAACTGAGTCGTCTTTGGTACTACTGGAAGTACATTTTCTACTTAATTGCTAGAGTTAACACTGAGGGGCAAATACTGAACCCTCTTTGTGAACAAAAGTATACAGAAAAGCCCAACCCATTTGACTATGTTGCTACCTGGGGAGAACCCCTCACACCCACAGCCCCAACATATACTCAGGGAGGGACTGAGAGAAGGACAGGAGCTGATGAACTGAGATACCAATTAAAATAGTCTCCAAGGGTGGAATGTAAAAAGGCAGAAACTTAGGTAGTGCTTGAGCTGTCCTGAACTGGCATGTGTAGGTGTGTGCCTGTATATCTGGAACAAAAGAAGTCACTATGGGTGTATGTTCATGCTGTCATATGATATCCAGGTTTGGCAACTGAAACTTGCTCTTTTCTGAAATGTTATTTTTATGTCAGAAGAACAGGCCATCTTGCATTTCTGACGCCTTTCTCATGTGTGCCGCGCACTCCTAAAGTCTCTAATACAACACAGCAACATTTGGAGGCGTATCATTGGGCACAATTGCCTTGATGCAAAAAGTCTGTCACTGAGCACAATTGTTTTAACCAAAGTTTTCTCGGGGTGGGCAGAGCCCCTAAGAGGAAAAGAGGTGCACTGAAGACCCTGGAATTAGGAGTTCTGTCTGCTAAAGCTCCTCTTCCTAAAAGCAACATGGAACAATTAAATTATGTGAGGGGAATGTGATGGTTGTTTTTCTTTTTGTTTTTTAAAATATAATAGCTTTATTGAAATATAATTCACATCCCATATACTTTAGCCATTTCCAGTGTGCAATTCCATAGTTTAGCTCAGCAGAGTTGAGCCATCACCACCACAATCAATTTTAGAACATATTTGTCGCCCCCAAAAGAAACCCTATACCCATTAGCAATTATTCCCCAAAAGGGAGTAATTACTTGAAACTTAAAAAAAAAATCTTAAACTTTTAAAAGTTTAAGTTTTCCCTAAATTTCCCCAGTCCTACTTTCACTTAGCACAATATTTTCAGGGTTCATCCATGCTGCTGCCTGAATAAAAGAATGAAGTATCAATACTCCATTTTTTTTTCATGGCCAAATAATATTCCATTGTGTAGATATACCATATTTTATTTATTCATTCATCAGCTGATGAACATTTGGATTGTTCCCACCTATTGGCTATTACGAATAATGCTGCAATGAATATTGTGTACAAGATTTTGGGTGAACATACGTTTTCATTTCTTTTGGAAACATACCGAGGAATGGAATTGTTGGGTATAGCTGCTTTTTTTTTTTTTTTTTTTGAGATGGAGTCTCACTTTGTCACCCAGGCTGGAGTGCAGTGGCACAATCTCAGCTCACTGCAACCTTTGCCTCCCGGGTTCAAGCAATTCTCCTGCCTCAGCCTCCTGAGTAGCTGGGATGACAGGTGCATGCCACCATACTCGGCTAATTTTTGTATTTTTAGTAGAGACAGGGTTTCACCATGTTGGCCAGGATGGTCATGAACTCCTGACCTCAAGTGATCCACCTGTCTCAGCCTTCCACAGTGCTGGGATTATAGGTGTGAGCCACTACTCCTGGCCTGCTTTTTATAGTAAAAAATATTGTTACATATTTCTTAACCTGAGGGATGGATGTAAATATATTTTTTTGTATTGTAATCCTTTACACTTATGTATATTTTATAAATATTCTTTTGTATCTACTCAATGTTTTTAAAATTTAAAAAATCTACAAAAGAAAGACTGATGAAAATTTTGAATATGTAATATTAATTAATGGCCTGGAGTATACTAGGTATTTATTTATATATTTTATGCAATTTTTCTATATTCCCTATAAAATTTGTCTTACATTGTTGTAGACCCTTTTCCTCTGGTTCTAATTTTCACATCTGCATTAGTAAAACAAAGGGGTGAATTGAGGCCAGGAACAGTGGTTCATGCCTGTAATCCCAACACTTTGGGAGGCTGAGGCGGGTGGATCACGAGGTCAAGAGATTGAGACTATCCTGGCTAACATGGTGAAACCCTGTCTCTACTAAATATACAAAAATTAGCTGGGCGTGGTGGTGCATGCCTGTAGTCCCAGCTACTTGGGAGGTTGAGGCAGGAGAATTGCTTGAACCTGGGAGGTGGAGATTGCAGTGAGCCAAGATCATGCCACTGTACTCCAGCCTGGCAATAGGGCGAGACTCCGCCTCAAAAAACCAAAAAACCAAAAAAAACGTGAATTGAAGCAATAATTCAGTAATACGGGTTCTTTAATTTCCTTCCACCTGAACAGTCTGGGTCAACACATGAGACGTCTCCAGGTGCCTCTGCATTTGCTGACCAATGGTCACTTCTGTTGCTGCCATGTAAGAGCTCAGAGGGAGATCCACGCTGGAGTCCAGGGCCAGAAGCAGGTAGAACCTTGCTGCTCTTATATTTGCCTCATCCCTTCCCTTAGTTCCTAGGCACCAGCCACATCACATTTAGCCAACTGTTTAGAGTACAAGGCATGACCTTATCAGAGGGGGAGGAATCTCATGATATCCCTTAAATGGTTTAGGACACATTTTCCTGGATATTTCTTCAGCTCTGCCATGTCAGAGCTTTCAGTTTGGGCCTATTTTCTATTCTGACTCCAGTTTAAGTTACTCTGGGATCTACTACTTGTGCTGTCAAATGCAAGGTCCTTTCACGCTGGTTCACCAGGCAAAGCCCCTTGGTTTAGACTCATCTATACTTTCAGCAGCACTCTGAATGGCAGCTGGTCTTACAGGTGTCTCTGTATCCACCCCAGTTGTATTTCATATTAACTGAGTCTCCGATTTCCTTCTCACTGCTCTGGTTTGTTGTTTCATCTCATTCTGTTCTTGATTCACACTTCATTTCCTGATTCCTCCTCTCGTCTATAGCTCACCCTCCAACTCTACTTTGATCCATGTAAAGGTTCTGCACCATACAGGGTTGCTCCATCACCAAGCTCTCTGATTATTGTGGGAATACATAAGATAGTGACATGCATTCAAGTGGGGAGAGTTTATTCATTATAAGCGAACTGAGGCAGACTTTCTAAAACACATATATTATCTGGATAATTGATTACACTTTCCACTTGACTTTATCTGCAAAGATTAGATTTTCCTTTAAAGTTTATAGTACATTAGTGTAGAGCCTTGAAAAGGAATCAGTAGTTAACTGCACTGAGTTTTAGGGACAAGTGTCTAACAAGTAATCAACTGAAAATTTGGTGAGTAAAGTAAGGTACGTACCTGTGTTTGTAGTCCTTTAAGACCCTGTTAGTGTAAAAGGTGGCAGCGTCATTCATCTCCTTGACATAAGGACCGGGTTTGGGGGACTGAGAAAACAGGACCGTCACCCAAGCATAGAAGGAAAAAAAAATAGGATAAGAAAGAAAATGCCTTAAAGAAGAAGAAAAGCAATGGAGACGTGTGGACTTGAAAGTGGGAGGCAAATGTTGCTCTGTAAAGGTTGATAAAAACACTTTCTACAGTATCTCAGAACAGAAAGCACTGAACTTTAAACAGGGTAGGAGAAAGCAGATGCATTCGGCCTAGGAAGAAGCTTCCTTCAGTGCAAGGAGCGTGAAGGTAACTAAGCTACGAGTTCTCCTAAATACTCCAAAAGTGTGATGAGGTGAAGAGGCAACATTCCATCTAGACTCACCACAGCTATCCATCCAAGGGCAGGGATGCTTTCGCTGACGGCCGAAAGATGATTAAACATGTTACTCCCCCGGTTTCTCTCTCTGAATGTTTGGATTTCCTGAATCTTTTCCGATATGGGTTTCAGAAGTGTGGCCACATCATTCTGGAAGCAATCAAACATCGGGGGCTGTTACTACAGACAGAGCAGACGCATAGCACCTCTATCCATGTTGGCCTAAGCAGGAGAATTCAGGACTTGCCATCTGTCAAGGGGTCTAAAAGAAACATATAATCATCTTTGAGAATAGCACGCATTTGTTCTTGGTTATGGTAATGCTGTGCTTTTACTGTCTGAAGTATGAAAATTGCAGATATTTTTAACATTATTAATGCTGCGGCTTGAGATGTGGAAAAAACCCAGCAGTATAGCACAGTCCCCATTTTGAAGACTCCTTCACGGAAGACAGTGAAATTGAGTGTTGATCATTTATATTTCAAATGGCAAATAGATTACACACTGCAATAACCCCGGTATAAAGTTGGGTAAGACTGGAAGGTTAGTAAAATGACGTCATCCTGTTCCTGTGGGAAAATGCTTTGGGAGAGGCTTCCTGGTTTCACCATAGTTACCATAATCCATGTGAAAAAGTGGAAATCTTTCACCGAGGCCCCCCTGCCCTTTTTTTTTTTTTTTTGAGACGGAGTATCACTCTGTCCCAGGCTGGAGTACAGTGGCATGATACTGGCTTACTGCGACCTCCACCTCCCAAGGCAGGTGATTCTCCTGCCTCAACCTCCCAAGTAGCTGGGACTACAGATGCCTGCCACTACACCCAGTTAATTTTATTTTTAGCAGAGGTGGTGTTGGCCAGGCTGGTCTTGAACTCCTGACCTCAAATGATCCACCCACCTCGGCCTCCCAAAGTACTGGGATTACAGCCGTGAGCCACCGCGCCCGGCCCTTTTTAAGAAAACATGATGGCTTATCATATTTATAGTGACTTTAGTCTTTGTTAGCATTCTACATTGTCCCCAGTCCACTTGGCCTATGGCTACAGGTCACACTCAATTCTGCTAATTCAACAACTGACTTCTCCATTTATACAAAAATGACTTTCAGAAATACATGAGCTGGCTGGGTGTGGTGGCTCATACCTGTAATTCCACCATTTTGTGAGGCTGAGGCGGGAGCATTGCTTGGGGCCACGAGTTCAAGACCAGCCCAGACAACACAGCAAGACCCCACTTCTACAAAAAAATTTTAAAAATGAGGTGGCTGTGGTGGTGTGCACCTGTAGTTCCAGTTATTAAGGAGGCTCCAATCCTGGGAGAATTAGAATTACCCAGGAATCTGAGACTGCAGTGAGCTGTGACTCACCACTGTACTCCAGCCTGGCACCAGAGTGAGACTCTGTCTGAAAAAAATATGTAAATAAATAAAAATTAAAAATAAAAAACAAAATGACGTGAGCTGAGTTATGAAGTATCTCGGAGCTAGATTCTCCAGAATACCACAGTTGCTTTAAACATCTCCTCATCTACATCCTTAGCATTCTCTAATTTCTCTAGGTGTTGAAAAGCAGATACAAGGTTGTTTATCAGATTTTTGTGCGTGCTCCAAAGAAACAGCAAAGACCCTATGCTTCAGCTCTGTGGGAGCAGTTAAAGAGTTTTAAGCAGTATTTTAGAAAATCTTGTTTGCAGGAGGTAAAATAGAAAAGCTCCTTATAGCGCTTTAATTTCTGAGATTTCAGAGCAATGGTTCCCAGCCTTGGCTACACATTAGAACCACCTTGGGGGCTTTAAAAACCACTGAGGCCTGGGTTCCACCCCTAGCAATTCTGACTTAACTGGTCCTTGGGTGGCCTGGGTGAGGGCAGGGGGAATTGTTTAAGCTTCTCAGGTGATTTCAATCATTGCCGCAGCAGTGACTTCACATCCCAGAGGACAGTCATTTCTGCCAGGGACAGCAAACTATTAGGAAATAAATTATGAGCAGCTGCGGTAGCTTTTAGACTTTACCTCTCCTTCTAAACCCCTTTATATCCCCTCCTCTGAAAGGAAGGTTGAATGTAAGGGCTTTGGAATTAGAATGGCCTTGGTTCAAAAAACTCTGGTGCCTACGGGGCCTTGAGCAAATTACTGAATCAGATCCTTACTTTCCTCCTCTATAAATCAGAGATAATACCTACCACCTACAGGCTACAGGAGATACTGCATTTTAAAGCCCTGGCACATGGGAGGTACACAATAAATAGAAGTAATTATTATTATTTCCATGATGCAGTTAACTCATACCAGAGGTAAAAAGGATGTTGTCCCCCGTAATATGTGATATTCATTTGTTTAAAATAAATATGCATTTAAGATATGAGAAGCTCCAAACAGGCATCTACATAGGTTAACAGGATTTTAGGATTCCTGGAGTCTAAACTGGGTCACCTAGTACAGCTTTTTGACAAATCCAGTAGAATAGGTCACAATTAGCATTTAAAAATCATGAAAATAGATTAGAATAGAAAAGATCAGAGGACATTCACATATAATAAGGATGGATATTTTGGTATCAAACTCTTGTTTTGGCTATGAAGTGTGTGTGTGTGTGTGTGTGTGTGTGTGTGTGTGTGCATGTGTGTGTGTACTGGGTTGCCAAATAAAATGTATTTCTTTTTATGGATCTAGCCTAAAAGTTTGAGAAACATGGCCGTAATCCAATTCTCCTATTTTACATATGGAATACAAGCTCAGAGAGGTTAATTTACTATGTCAAGACCAGCTAGCAATGATTAGTGGAGCTGGAGCTAGAACCTAGGTCTCTGGGGAGGCCCTGAGACAATTCTTGATACTGGGTGCTGAGGAAAATATGGTTAGTTCTCTACATACAGGTTTCTTCTCTGCCAATACGACTAGGGAAAGGTGTTAAGAAGAGATTAAGAGCACAGGTTCTAGCAGGAGACTTCTTGGGTTCAAATCCTTGCTCCACAGTATGCTCAGCTCTGGGACTTTATATCAGTTACCAAACTTGTCCAAGATTCCCTTGTCCCATCTGCAAGCTAGGGTTGACAACAGCACCTGCTTCACAGGGATATTAGGAGGAGTAAATGAGAGAACGTGTCGTGCTTGTTAAAGGGTCAGGTATACTGTGAGTGCACAACAGGTGGCTGGTGATCTCCAAGGTATCTGCCAGTTACAGAGCCTCTGATTGGCCAAGTTCACTGACTAGCTCTTTCCCATCTCTTAAATGCAAACACAAGGAGAGCGGTTTCCTAACTAACATATGCTGAGGGACGGAGGCACCCTTCTGTTTGGGGGAAACAAAGAAATACAGGGAGAGAAAGCAAAGTGCTCTCAAGGTTCCCAGTGGACTTTTTAGCTATCCTGTACTGAAGGAGGGGAAAACCAAAAACATTTGCTGCAGAAGCTAGTCAGTTCTTGTGGAAAAGCCATGAATATCTTCCTGTCTCCTCTCTTTCCCTTCTGACCACTACAAAGCAAAGGACTTATGGATTTGGTGAAAAGACCTTGAATCAGAGTTGTTAGGGGCTGCACTCTGTCCACCCCCCCCCCAACCAAATTCATATGCTGAAGCCTTAACCCTCAGTACCATATTTGGAGAAAGGATCTTAAATATGGTTGGAATGCAACCATATTTGGAGATAGGGTCTTTAAAGAAATGATTACATTAAAATGAGGTCATTAGGGTGGGCTTCAATCCAATACAACTGGTGTCTTTTTTTTTTTTTTTTTTTTTTTTAGCTAGAGTTTTGCTCTTGTCGCCTAGGCTGGAGTGCAGTGGCACGATCTCGGCTCACTGCAACCTCCACCTTCCAGGTTCCAGCAATTCTCCTGCCTTATCCTCCCAAGTAGCTGGGATTACAGGCACACACCACCACACCCAGCTAATTTTTGTATTGTTAGAAGAGATGGGGTTTGGCCATGTTGGCCAGGCTGGTCTCAAACTGTGATCTGCCCGCCTCAGCCTCCCAAAGTACTGGGATTACAGGCGTGAGCTATGGCATCTGGCCTGACTGGTGTCTTTATAAGAAAAGGAGATGAGGACACAGACACACACAGAGGGAAGACCACATGAAGACACAGGGAGAAGGCAGCATCTACAAGCCAAGGAGAGAAGCGTGGGGAGACACCAACCCTGCCGTCACCTTGATCCTGGACTTCCAGCCTCCAGAACTGTGAGGAATTTCTGTTGTTTCTAATCTACATGTCTGTGGTACTTTGTTAGGGCAGCCCTATCAAACCAATGCAGGGGTAATGGCAGTTCAGGGAAAGCAAACACCTTCAACTCCTTCCCTCCAAACCCTCAACAATAGAACAAACAAAAACCCCTCTAAACACTCCTGGCCCCAAACACAATTATGCCATACTTGTTCGTTAATGGTTGCCAAACATCAGTTTTAAATACCCTCCCTGGAGCTTCATTCTTAGAAAGCAAACATCTCCTTCTCTGGGGGATTCTTTTCAGTTCAAATTCAACACCTGATCAAGGGTGTGGCATCAGTTTCCCCAGAAGGCAGCTGATTTTTAATGATGGCAGAACTACTAAAAAGCATCCTAATTTTCTCCAACAATTGGCTAAGTCACAATGTTCTTAATGTAATGACATTTTTGAGAAAGGCCAGAATATCTGAATTGTTGATGATACCTGGCCCACTGCCCCAAGGGGAAAAAAAACCAGAAACTGTATATTTATAACATTAGAGAGATTTATTAAGGCCATTTTTGTTTATCTCTAACTTCCCGAGAACAAACTAAAGTCTGAGGAGACAGAGTCTTCTGGAAGATACTTTATATTGGTTATCTGATGAAAGCATCATAAAGATTGAGAAAGTTTTCTTTTGCTTTAGTTTGGCAATTATGTGAAGAATTGTCATCATTAAAAAAAAAAGCAATGTTGAGAGAACTAAGTACAACAGCTATTTGCACAACTCTAATAAACATTACTGCTTTTATTCTGTGCCAACAGACTTCTCCTGTACTTTAAAGAAGTCTTATCTTCACCAGTTCATCCTGACTTTCAAGGCTGGAATCAAAAATAGAAGAGAACATCAGAGTGATGGTGTGACTTCCATCAAAGCTGGTTGTGTGGGATGTCAGACGAAAAGTCAATGGGGGGTCTCTGAGAGGTACTTCAACCTGTTTCAGTAT